TCATCATTTTCTGTGAAAAAAATTCAGATTACTAAAGGTGTTCTTTGGCTGGAAAAAATCAGCCTTTCAATATTCAAATTTCAAATGGTTGCTTATTTTCACACAAAACTAATCTTATTAAAACTATATTTTAGTTTGATACTTTGACTTCAGATCTTCTCAAAACATTAACAAATTTTGGACCATGGCTCCTTGTATACATAGCAGTGTGGATGCAATTTTGTTGCATTGGTTAGGGGTGTGTAATGCAAGTAACCAAAACATCAAGTTTTTGATACTGCAGCTGACTGAAATTGATTCTGTCTTTGCCATTTCATATTTTGCTTCTTCCCTTAGTAACAGTTATACAACACCTGAATAAATCCCTGTCATCTGATTGGTGGATCGTTGATCACATGTCATTGAATTATTCGTACCAACGCATGGCGCGCGCGTGACGCGCAGCGCACTGTGAATGGAAGTTCTATTGCACTGTGAATGGAAGTTCTATTGCACTGTGTCACTGCTGCTGGTGGTGGCGCTGTTTTCAATCGAGATAAATTGAATGTGATTGTTCTCAACCTGTTGAACAGTTTGCATTAATATAAATATGATGAACTTGTCGAACTTTTAAACAGTTTTTAACCTGAATAAATTGGTTATTAAAAGTCAACCAATCCGATGACAAGGATTTATTCGGGTGTTATATAAAACAAATAATGAATGTTTCACGTTCGTGCAATGGAAAGAATAATTTCATTCGGTGACAGATGAAATGTTCCATTCCACTCGGCTTCGCCTCGTGGAATGGAACATTTCATCTGTCACCTCATGTAATTATTCTTACCATTGCACTCACTTACAAACATTCATTATTTGTATACTATTGAATCGATAAAAGATATGAAAATGATACCAAGCATGATGTCATCAGGAGGTGTCAAAAATTGAAATGCGAGTAACCGGTAATGCGAGTAACCACTGTAATGCGAGTAACCATTTAACTTTCCATATATAAATTATGACTTTTGATTACTGATTTACTGTTTTTTGATAAGAAGAAATAATGTAAGCCCCTTGAAAATGTAAATTGATGCAGACTAGGATTTGTGGTACACATATCTGAAAAGTATTAGAATTCATAGGGCCTACATCAAAAGTTGCTCATAATTTGCATAAAATCACATTGTGTACAATCAATGTAATGTTGATGTACAAACAGTTGGAGCAAATTTGAGAGTTGATGAGGGAATCTTATCAGTAAATATGCATAAATGACATATTTAGAGTAATTATATTGCCATGTACATGTATCGTTCAGCATGTTCAATAGGCCTGTGCTGGGCACCATCAAACTTTCCTAAAATACAATTTAAGATTGATTGGTAATCTTCTAATTATACTGATACATTAAAGAATGATTAATTGATTTAATTGTATAGCCTAGCCATTTGTTTTGTTTGATAAAATGATTCAGGTTGAATTAGACCTGTCCTGATTAAGATTTGATTTTTTTCCCAACCAAATGAACTAAATTGTAATGCGAGTAACTGTAATGCGAGTAACCAAAATCCTTCTTTGGTCTTTTATTCCTTTACTTTTTTGTTGGCTTTATTTTGGTTTTAGGCCATACGTTTAGGGCTGTGCAACTCCATGCAGTTAAAATCTGATCAAAATTGTGGGGGTAAAATTTGTATTCGACCCTAGCCAAAGTGTGGACAAACTGTAATGCGAGTAATCGTAATGCGAGTAACCAACCTTTCTCGCTGTATAATTTATATCTGATTTGGGTCTTCATTTTTTATTAACCATTTAAGTTAAGTGCTATGGTAGGTGTCCTGTAAATATATTAATTTGGTTATTGCACTTTCAGTTTAAGCAGACAGGGGAATCTAAACAGAGCCAATTTTTGGCATGTCCTTTTTGTGTAATGCGAGTAACAATTTTTTTGAAGAGTGCTACAATCTTGTCATGGTACGAACATATTTTTTTTTACCATCAGGTTGAAGCCTTGAATATACATGTAGGGTATATTTATGCAGCATAAGAGATAGACAGTCCGACTACTGCTAAAACCACAGCAATCGGAACACAAAAGGGTGCAAAAAAGTGTAATGCGAGTAACCGTGGAATCGCCCACAGTCTTCATATCTATATATATAAGAGAGAGTTTAACTCGGCCTCCGAGACGATGTTTGCTCATGAAAGGATCCGAGACCGCGGGCTCACGCGGCGCCAAAATCGCTCCACGTCCGTGGAAAAATGTGGAGGGTGTCTTCCGCCGGGTCGGACACTTCGGGTCGTCCTGATTTTCCCGTACGGACCGGCGATCCGTTTAGTCGATTTTTCGTGACTGTGTTTTGCGCAGGAATTTGCTGTCGTGTGCGCTTTCACGTTGACTGCCTGGCCGCCCCCTGTGCTGGCTTTTTCTGCGTGTCTAGACTGTGCGAGGTCAGCGAGGTCAACGTAGGGGTTGCGTTTACGTGTTCTACTCGGCCGTTTTGCAAAAGAGTTCACCAAACGTTAGTATGGGGTGACCTTGGTAAAATATTTTTTGTCCATGGTGCGTGGCCACCAAGTGTCCCTATTCTTTCATATGCTTCGCTTGCCGCCCCTGTGCCGAGTGCAACGAATACTCAGAAGGACTATACATTAGTATGCCTAGCGCGGTCTGACCAATCGAAAGTCTACACTGCGTGGTACTTCCCGGCTATGCGTAAAACCGTCACTGGCAACGCGTACTGCAGCCTGCTCCACACCCTGGAAACGAGGTTGGGTCTACGGTGCTCGCTATTTGAAGCGCAAGCATGTGACGTCGCGTGATAGAGTGCTGTTGCTTCCATAATGTGTTTACAGCTCCATGCTGCTTCCACCACCAAGGCTGAGCGTTGTGAGTTCGCTGCCCGCTACGTATAATTCAGTGTCGCGTTATAATTTTGGGGGCCTGTTTGGGATCAACGAAGGATCGATGCATTGCTTCAACTTATCGCGATCTTAAACGCAGTCACACAAAAATCGACGAAAAAGACTTTAGTGTCCGACCCGGCGGAAGACACCCTCCACATTTTTCCATGGACGTGGAGCCATTTTGGCGTCGCGGGAGACCGCGGTCTCGGATCCTTTCAGGAGCAAATATTTCTCGGAGGCCGAGTAAAACTTGCTCTTAGCCTATATAGATGGTTGAACCAACTTGAATAAAAGTTGAATCGACTTTTTCCTCAACAGACGGTCTCGCAAATGGTAAGAAGTTCAAGTTAACGTTTGTTGAAGAGTCCAATACTGAAACTTAATTATGACCTTCCTCCATATTTTATGGTAACACTCAACATTCTCATTACAAATGACACCTTCACATTTTATTGCATTATTATTTATTGTCAAAACTGTACAATCAGGCCTCGCCTGTGTACTACGGTAACCTTTTCACTACGTTTTCCAAATGCGACTGCCTCACGAAATGCCAATTTAACAGACCAACGGGAACACTTACAGACAGTTGCAATGGTACATAATTATCATGTTCGTAAATCGACGGGGGACAGGGGGAAACCCCCCCCCCCCCCACATTTTTCAAGCCGGGGACATTGTTTGGTCCCCCCCCCCCCAACTTTTTCTTCCCCGAATAAAAATTGTAGCCTACAATAACGATTCTACTGCTCAGAATACATGTAGCTGATTCAATTACTCAAAACTCAAAACTTTAAAAGATGATCTTTCGCTGAAATTGATTTTATATAGTGGTCAGAAATTGCCTCAGATCACACCACAGAAATTGCTTTTGTATAACTGCACGTCTCCTCAACTATATCCCCCATCTACGTTTTCCAAATGCGACTGCTCACAAAAAGCCAATTTAACAGACCAACGGCAACATTTACAGACAGTTGCCACGGTACATAATTATCATGTGCGTAAATCGACGGGGGACAGGGGGAACCCCGCCCCCCCCCCACCCCACATTTTCAGGCGGGGGACATTGTTTGGGTCCCCCCCCCCCTTTTTCTTCCCCGAATAAAAATATTGTACCCTACAATAATGATTCTCATTACTCAGAATACATGTAGCTGATTCAATTACTCCAAACTCAAAACTTTAAAAGATGATCTTTTGCTCAAATTGGTTTTAGTGGTCAGAAATTGTCTCAGATCACACCACAGAAATTGCTTTTCTAAAACTGCATGTCTCTCCAACTGTATGTCTCTCCAATTGTATCCCCCATTTACATTTAACTCCCCACATTTTCATCCCCAACACTACGCCCTACCCGATCTATGATCGGGTAAATCAGCTTGTAATGTAAATAACAACCAAATGCGAAAAAAAATCACAACTGACCTTTGATGACCTTCCAGAGGTCAATGACCTTTGTATTAACTGCACTAACTCTATGTATAGTTATTTATACGATATACCCTTTTAAACCCCAATTTTTTTCAAGCGGACTACCTCTAATGGCGAGCGGACTACCGCTAATGGTCAAACCCTGATTTTCATCTGTAACACATCTCTGTCTATGTACATGCAAAGTTTCAACCCAATCGGCCGTGTAGTTCTCTAGATGTATGTAGATCATTGAAAAATACACCTTTACATCACTTGTCGAGACACAACTTTGTTTATGGGGTCTTAGCCGATGCTAACTTTGATCAATGTATGGCAATGATGAATGCCCAAAGAGGTGGGCAGAAGAGACGTGTACAAAATCTACTATGCGGAAAGGCCAACAAATACAAAGCTTTCCGCAGAATGCAACCCAAAAATCTTAACGAAAACAAAAGGCTATTTTGGCAATTTTGCCGAAGTAGCATAAAAATCCCAAACAGCTCTGTGTTAGTCCACAAACACAACTCTTGTTGTATTCCAATATTTTTCATTCAGTGTGTAATTTGAAAATTAGAAGTTAAATTATAAAATTGGCCGTCTGCGGTTGACTTGGTGTGAATGATACTCTCCCCCCCCCCTCCAAAAAAACCCCAAAACCCTGTTTGCATTGTACTATTTTTAATTATTTTTTTTTTCAGGATCTGGTGAAAAGTCATCTACTGTTTGCCGTACGAGAGGAGGTGGAGGTCCTGAAGGAGCAGATAAAAGAGCTCTTAGAGAAGAATGAGCAGCTGCAACGTGAGAACAATGTCCTTCGTCAAAAGCAATCCCAGGGGCTTCCCACGCACCTCCCCTTCAACCAATCAGAGGCAGCACAGCCCAACTTGCAGCACGTGGGAGGGCCCTCGGCTAGCCAGGACAAAGGAGGATTCCAGAGCATCCCAGGACCTGCAGCACCCAGAGTAGATGGGTACCAACAGCAGCCGGGGACCGGGGAGCAGTTTGCCAGCATGCCAGCTGGGGCTGGCCCACAGCATGGTCAGGCACCTGGGCAGCAGCAGCAGGTGTTACCGCAACAGCAAGCTAGCCAGTATGGTCACCTCCAACAACAAGCACAACCCAAGCAGCAACAGCAGCACACGCAGCAAACATCTAACCAAGTTAACCAGACACCATCACAGACATGACAAAAGTGCATGAGGACCAAGAACAACTGTGTTCTCATTCTTCTCTTGATTTGTTATCAATGAGCCATTATATTTTGGGACCTGAATTACCTGCAGAATGCATGAATCTCATGATTTTTTTTTTTTGGGGGGGGGGGGAGCAGAGTCGACAATTTCATTGCTGATGAAATGTGGAGAGATGATAGTGTCTTAATGTATTGCAATACAATGTGTATTGTTTTGTTGTAAAAAAGGTAGAGGTGGACTTAAGAATTAAAGTAAATGCAGTCCTTGGCCTACAGCAAAGGCTTTTTTCCTGATACTTTTCTTCAGCGGTAATGATAGCTTGAGCTACTTTCAACTTGTCAAAAACTTTAAACACATGTAAAAAAAAAAAGAAGAAAAAAAAAAAGAATTGTTACTGCAATTCTCTTAATACCTTGCATTGTTAGAAAATACATACATTTCAGATAAGGCCATAAAAAAGTCTCCGGTTTCTGGTATGTGCGCGCGTGTCGCCGTAGCCATGCGCGTCGGCAAACTTAAAAAGTTTCTTTTTTTCAATGTAAGATGTTGTCTTAAAACTGCCAAATTCACTGGTTTAATTGGAATCCTATTGCTGCACAAATTTAATGTGTTTTTAGATGGGGTTACGATTGGGTATAAGCTTTATGTGGCCTCTCCGGGCTCCCATATATTTTGCACTAAATTTAGTTGGGCACCATTTGCAGATGATGTTGCAATTTTATAATTGTGCGTCTGGAAGCCAGACTGAGGGAACAATGGTCGTGTATCTGGGACCTGTAAAGGCTGTTTAATGAGCACAATATGTATGGGAGCAGACTAATGACCAGCCTGGCAGCTCCAACCTCATCCCCAGGGTGTCGAGCAGTACGCGCCCACCACTACCTGCTCTCTCACCCTGGTAATGGATCATTTGCATGTGCAAGATTTTTGAACACGTATGCAAATGAGGAGTAGTCTGGTACTTGTATGTGCGTTACATTAGCGTTCGTTTTTGTATGTGGTGTCTGGGGTAAAAACAGCATCAATTCGTCGCGCTGTGAATTATGAAAGCACGATTTTTTTTTAAGTTCAAATGTTACAATCTGGCCCGCCAATATGCAGTATCACATTTCATATTAATATGAGCAAACTGGAAAGGAAAGGAGTGTTTTTGAGAAGGCGTGGACGTTATAATTACAATGATAGTGAAAACACGTAATGCACGTTGGAAATAACAACACCAACTACACGATCTAAATCCATTACTAGCCAATCGCGGTATCGAAGCAGGATACAGGAATAAAGTTTCATATCCAGGGCTTACTATTGGAAACGAGGTTGGAAATAAAGTAAGCACTGGGGACGAGGTTGTGGCAACTCATACATGGCGATGTCGATGTCGCTGTATTGTCTGATGTCACCGTTTTCTCTGATTTTTGTCTTGACTATCCAAATTTCCCAAAGAATGTGCGTGTCGGTCGAGATTGTAAGTGGGTGCAGAATTCTCAAGCCTTATGGCCTTACTGAGGTCACCTCAAGCTCCACCTGAAGGATATTTTTGAGACTTTTAAGGGGATCGAACCATCATCTGCAACATCAGTCGACATTTGAAGAAGAAAAAAAGTTGGGGGAAAAAAACAAACGCGTCACCGCACCACTTTTTGGGCAAGCTCCATACCAGAAACGAGAGACTTTTTGGGGGGGCCTAAATGTTAACTTGTTTTTGTTCAGAAAATGTGATGATTTAAAAAAAAAAAGGCTGTGAAATCTAAAATCTAAAAAATAAAATATATCATGCTCTAATCTATTAATGCTATCAAAAATTTAGCCCGTTAGAATACTAGCATCCATGTTGCCCTCCCCCCGCCCCACAAAAATGTATTTCAACCATTTCAATATATTGAAATAATTCCTGCTGATGTAGAACAGCTACATGCACCTATAGCATTTCTGAGGCGAATTCTGGAGGGACTATTTCCCCTACGCTCATTGGAGGTAATGTTAAGAGGGAAGTGACATGTTTATGTACATGGACTTTTACTAAGCAATGGTGAAGGTCAGTCCATATTTGGTGTTTCTATGTCTCACATGTCTTGCAAAATATTCTGAAATTCATCACTGATGACTGAAATGTAGGCAGATACCATGCTCGTTGGAGCAGTTAGTCTTGGGTCAATACACTGTTGTATATTGGATATGCAATCACCTGCCACAAGAGGGCGTTATCACAATGAATCGTTATCACCCACGAACTGCTATCGTTACAACGTCTTGGGAATCTTTTAAAATCTCCCCCCCCCCCTCCCAAAAAAAGAAAAAGAAAAAAGAATTAAAATAAATAAATAATCATAACATTGGTTAAATTTCTGCGGTCACATGTACACTACAGGACATACGACAAAAAAGTTGCACAAAACTCCGGCAACCTCTTGCATGCTACTTGCTGAAATTTCGGGGTTTGGCTTGGAGCATTTGAAAGGTGTTGAAAGCGCACTGCATGCATAATAGGCGGAACAAGTGCACACGCATGACACGACCACTGCAAGATGCCCAAGAAGTTGTGGTAGCAGTTCGTGGGTGACCGCAGCCCCTCTTTCGGCGGGTGATCGTGTATTCAACATATAAACAACAACAACATCTTGACCAAGACTGGTGAACAGTTGATAAGCATGATATACTTTGGTTGCTTTGCAGGCAGAATGTAAGAAATATCTAGGTCATTCTTTACAAAGTGAAAATGTAAAATTTCTTGACCAAATGAAGTGGTTTGTACAGCCTTGTGTAAAAAAAAACACTAAGATCATCGAAAAACCTCAAGTGCAACTTAAATGTGTTAAATCATTGGCTGCTATTGTGCAATTTTTGCAGAGCTGTCTGTGGTGATATTAAATGATATTCAACAAATGTTTTGTTTGTGCTCCAACGTAGCTTCAACAGAGTGGTACTGGTACAGTACATGTATAGGGTGAGTACAAAAAAAGAAACACCTTTGGATAATTGTTTGTCTCCCACAAAAATGGGAAAGGTTACCAGTTTTTCTCTTCAACCAACATTTGGTGTGGGTCTTGACCACAGTCAGTAAACGTTTCACTGATATTCAGTCATGCATGAAAAGGATACAGGCCTTTCTTGTGACTACCCCAAAACACTACCAACACAATGTTCAGAATAGGCCTTTTGTTGTCAACACAATGGCAACAATGGGCCTCAGGACAATGAAGGAAATAAATGGAATTGCAGAACAGGACATCAATTAAATTAATGGAATTATATTTCCTGAACTTGAAACTGAATTACATACAAGGTTCACATTTTCACTCTCCTGCTGCTCGACCTTCCACCTGTCTGTCATTCAGATTAATACAAAGTTGTGCCCGTCAACTTGTGTCTGCAATAGCTCTGGGGACCATCCATGTTCTTCTGAGGGCTTAAATTTCAACAGTCATTTGTTGGCGAAGTCCGTGCAGGTGTTTGGAGACAAAAACTTTTCCAAAGGGACATTTTTTTAACTCGCCCTGTACATTGGTCCAGAGTTGGCACTTTGAAAAATATTTTGATTTTTGTTATGTTTTGTTTGGGTTTTTTTGTTTTGTTTTTGTTGTTATTTTTGTTTTTTTATGTCCATTTTGTGTGTGCATTATTTTAAATTTTTTTTTGGTGGGGGTGTGTTGTTCAAGTTTACAATATCGTCTTGGAAGTTCTACACACAATTTTGCAAATACACAAATTTGCTGAAACTTTCTTAACAATACTTTGTTGTTAATCATTGCATGATCATTTAATACAAGTTGGGATCAGAAATGGTCCGTGTATGGGATACGTATGCGGCTAGGAAAATATGGCTGGTCGATCACCAGTTTGCATGTTTTGTCTTTCATCTGGCATACTATAGGCAATGTGCATTTCATATGAAATGTACAGATGTACATGTATATCACTGGGTGTCGTGAAATAACCACAAACAAATGGTGATATAACCAGCTAGCTTTTACAAACCGCATCCCAAACATTTTTAATGGTCCGTACTGCGTGCGCCCACTGGTTCTCATATGATAGTAAGTACATGTACGAAAGGTAACTTTTAAAAACCCATATCATTTTCAAGAAGTACTTCCCAGTGGTCTCTCCCAACACTGTGTAACTGAGTGAGGGGGTACTTGTGCACAGACTCCATATCAGTTGTATACGCACATGTAGCTTTATTGCACTTACACCCCAAGGCATTTAAAAAAAAAATCTGTCTTGCAATGTCACATATTACAGAATGGGGTCTGACTAATAAAGTACACTGTATCTTGATCATAGTGTTCTGATTTTCGTGTGTTTTTCTGTTGAGAAACATGCCATTATGTACATGTATCATAGGAGGTAGATTTTTTTGTGAAAAAGAATTTACGTAATGCCTTACTGTACTTTCAGAAGATTTATATTTTGTTGAAGATGAGGTTATCTTGTTTGTGAGGGTGTGGGAAATAGAAGTATCGACTGTTGTGTACCAGAAAATCCCTGCAAATGGAATCAATTTTTTGTTTTGATATTTTGTTTTTCCTTTTTCTAGCAAAACTTAGTACATGTATGTTCCGGTCTGTTCTTGTGCTGTCACTTTAGTTTGTGCTTCCACCCAGTAGCTTATATGTTCATGTAGTTCATTAACCAATTATTGTGTGCTCAATACGATAACTCGAATGCAACATTTGTTTAATAACAATAATTGTTTTGTTGTAATTATAATGTATATTCTACCTTAACGTTGGCCACAGTGATAAGTGTATACTAGTAATCCAATGTTTATATTTCAAATGGCCATAATAAATATACATAATTGCATAAGATCCAAGTAATTAAAATGTTATCTACTGGTATTAGCCTTTTTAATTAATGTTGAAAACAGATAAACACTTCCTGCATTTAAAACTGTTCTTTGTGTAAGGGCTTTTCTTGTAAAATATACCTGTTAAGCCTGAATTGATTTGTTGGGTTCTGCGGGATGTCACTGCAGAATCATGCAAATTGTTATCCAGCTGGCTATGGTTACAAATCATCTCCCATACAACTTTGAGTATATTCTTCAAAACTTTCTGAGATTATTATTCAAACACTATAAAACCCAAATCCACTTGATGCCTTTTTTTCCTACCGAGAAGAGTGTTTACGGGGCATTTTGAGCAGAAATGAAGGAGTACAATTGAATACCCATTTCCCCGACCTTGTTGTAAACAGGGCTTCCATTTGGAAAAAAGTGGCAAAATAAGCCCAAACGTAGAGTCAGAAACACAATTTGGACAAACTTTCTCTTCTTTGGGCAGACACACATTTCATAATTAGGCGGTGGGAAAAAAAACACATTACAAAATACTACACCATTAATCCAAACTTGACAATTCCTTTCTGAATTTGGCCTTGGCAGTCTAATATTAAAAAAGAAAATTCAAAATTGTATTTGGCTTTTA